AAGAATTTGCATGTGGTCAAGTCTGTAATAGGACTCAGCTGGCCACAAAGCTGGAATGGTATTGGCCTTGGTTCAAGGAGATATGTGCTTGAATTTAACCAGGGAAAATTTTACTCATATATTAAAGGTTTGGTTTGGTGTAGATCCATTTGGCTCACTCACTTATGAAATTACTTTTTCACATTAAAGTAGTCAGTAGAATATTCTCAATACCATAAATCACTGGTGTTAGGTATCACTATACTATGGCAACTTTGCTGAAACAGTTGGGCTTTGCTTTTGGTGGCTTCTGTATTGACCGTAACAAACTCCGCATATGTGGTAAATTTCCCTGACTGCTCTCAAGCCTGGCATTGGATTACAAGAGGTAAAATATTAGACTAATACACATCTACAGCTAAGTAAAGTGAACGCTTTGCTAAATAAATGTTAGATCTGGCCATAATGGAATAGTTTTTATTTATTAGTACTCTCAGCCTAGCAAAAAAGTGTCATGGAAATTTATCAGCCCGGGCAGAAATACCTACTCACCCACACGTTACCACGATGATTGATGATAATGAAAAAACGAATGATATTTTACTCTCATGTCAAAAAATGAAAAAAAAGAAACCCTCACCTCAAGTGAGTAAAATCTTCCCAGGCTGATTTGAGGCTAAGGACTGTGTGCCTGTAAGGTGTTAGCAGCTAGCAAAAAAACGCATTCTCTCTCTCTCTCCACAAAGTCACTATATGCTTTCTTTAGAGCTATTTTAATAGTTCTGCATTTATAGCACTATCATTCAAATTGGTAAAGCATCTAAATGTTGGTGTTTTTTTAAAGTTTGAAGTAAATTGTTTCTCAGCATATTTGGTCTCATGAAATTCAGAACAACCACAGGAGAACACAGCAATAAAAGCCAGCCAGTTCCACCCAAAGGTACTAGCTGCACCACAGATTTCAAGGAGTGCACGATGTTCATTTCAAGCTGCTGGCAAATGCCATGTTGTAGCTGCCTGGTTCCAAGCAAGTGAGAATAAGCAGGCACAAGCATTCAGCAATGGCGCAAAACCAACAAGGAGCAGCCCGGTTGTCAGCAGCTGTGTGAAATCAACAAAAGTCAAATCAATCTGAAGTGACACAATGTTTTCCCTGGAGTCCTGACTTAGATCTTATTTTTATGTGAGGCTTTTTCCAAAATTGTAGAATAAGTACAGCTAGGGATTTGTAAAATAATTAGAAGTCTCTCTCGTGCCCTAACAATATAACCTAGCACCGTGTTTTAAGACACTCAAAACTTCAGTGTGAAACAATTCATGAAATGGATGCCATTTATGCACATTACTAGATTACAAACTGAAATCTTGAAAATATCACATTTTACTGATGAATCTGTTGTGCTGCCTGTGGTAGGAAGAGGGACGCCTGATATTTTTGGAAGCAAGAAGTGAATGCTTTCTCTTCCCTTCTCTATACTGATAATACAGCACTAAAACTGAACATTTCATTTGAATATTGAAGAACTTTCATGTGGTTCAACTTCCAACTGTAAAACAATTAAATAGACCATTTAATTTCACTGCCCTTTTCAGACACTGACTTTTTTCTTTACTGAAAAATACCTTAACTTGAGTTACCGGGCTGGTCCCTCTCTTCTCATTTTTCATCCCAGTGGGTGAGAGTGCCCCTGTCGTATTTGGTGGCTGTGGAGTAGATGGCATTTTGGCTCCAGGAGAAACTTGCATGCTTGCCAGCTGAGCTGCATACAGTTGCTGGAAGACAAGAAGATATACAATGTATTCCTGCAAAATTCTTAAAAAAGAAGCTGTAAATGTACATAATTTTTATTGCTCTGCTGTTTCTTCTCTTAAAGGAATTATAGTTTTTTTTCAGTACTTTCTTGTTTGTGGTTTTTCCCTTCCTGTTCTTTTCAAAGAGAAAAAAAAAGACTGGAAAACTCCCCCACACCAATATCTTTTTTCTTAATTTGACTTTTAGCTGATTGGTTTTTTTCCCTTCTTGCTAATGATGGCCATGGTAATGAGCAAAAGGTTATAGTGTGCCTGAATATTAAAAACAAAATCGGCAAAATTATAAGGCTGGTTATGAAAAGGAGGTATAAACCCCTGTCAGAAACAACAATGCTTCAGGTCTTTCTGTTCTTACCCAGAAATTACCCACCAACTCCAAAACCTCTACTGGGAGCTGACTTAGAAATCGTTTGCAACCAAAAGGCAATGCTGCATCTTCTCTAGATAACAATGAAAGTTAAAATAGGCAACGGGGTATGCCTCCATCTCGGTGTACAGTGATTGTTATAACTTCTATAAATGCTAATAAGGAATGAGGCCTTAAAAATGCCTGTAAATAGTGATGAAAAAACAAAAACACCCTCATGGAACTTTTCAAAAAGTTTACCTGAAACATAATAAAAGACTTGTACATTAAAATAAACTATTCCTACCAATCTGAAGTGTTTACTGAACAAAACCAAATAGGTATAATTTCCTTCCAGTGACCAAATTTAAACCCTCACCTTGAATTAGCATCAGCAATAATTCTTCTACCATAAACAGGGAAGATCCTAATCCCTCTTCTACACATAAATCTATATAAACTTTGCCTTATTAGTGAGAAAAAAGCCAGGTGGTTTGTATGTAATTTCCAACATTACTATCATTCAGATGGACAAATAAAAAAAATTACAGTAATCAAAAGCAGACCTTTCAGCACATATAATTAAATGAAAGCTTAATAAAGAATAATTTGCAAGAACCAGATGTGCTTATGTCATAATTGTTGCTTTCTTTGGAACAATTTTTCTAATATAACAAGCCTCCACAGAAATGAAAGTTACACAATACTGTAAGCTCAGTGACTCAGTGGCTAGACAAACGCGTGAAGGAGGGGCAGAGTCAGAACGCTGGGTGACAAATGAAAACTCTTGTTTGTTTGTTTGTTTGTTTGTTTCCTGCCACCCCTTTTCAATACCACACAGAGGCTACAAAAGGATCACAGATTAATATTTTGAAATCAATGGTGTTTAAATATTTTGGCTAATGTACTATTTTTTCCTGCACTAGAAAGCTAGAAAAATTGAAAATAGAAAAAATTCCCAGCTTTTGATGATGTCCTAGAGAATGAAAATGAAGCATTGTAAACAATAGTAAGTGGGTTTTTTTCCCCTGCTACTGGGATCTTATCCCTTTTAGCATATTCTTTAGATCAGTCTATGCTTGCTTAAGAGGATGCTCTGCTTATGTGAGAGTAAGAAGCACATTTCACACGTCTAAAAGCCTGCACTTTCTCAGCTTAGAAATAATCAGGCACTGTACTATGACAGAGACGATACAATAAACTTGAATACAATTGAAAGACAAAACCCAAAGATTATCATGGCCTTCTCGGTGTTCTGTACTTTGTCTATTAAAATACTTTTCCTTTTTTTTTTTTTTTTTTTTAAATTAGGAACCTATTTAACATCTACTTTGACCATCTGGGTGAGATGACTTAGATTTTAATAAAAGTAGACTAAAACTTTATTACTTAAGTAGTGTGTATTGCACTTTCAAGAGTGGGAAAGGAATTCTATGTAAAAACAAATCCAAGTTTATTAACTAAAGTTCAAACAAATTTCCTTCTCCCTTCTCAGGTAAGCCATCAGGGCAAAAAGGTGGAGTATGAGATGAGTTATTCTTTCTACAAAATTCAGTCTTTCTTAGAGGATAAAAGTTGATAGTCAATGATGGCAAGTAGCATAGTGCGGTGGGTTGACCCAGGCTGCCAGCTGCCCAGCCAGCTGCTCTCTGCCTCCCCCTCCTCAACAGGATGGGGGAGAAAATAAGATGGAAAAGCTCATGGGCCGAGGTAAAGACAGGGAGATCACTTGCCAGTTATCATCACAGGCAAAACAGATTTAGCTTGGGGAAAATTAATTTAATTTATTGCCAATTACAATAGAGTTGGATGGTGAGAAACACAGACAAAAACTAAAATCCCCCATCCCCGCCATTTTCCCAGGCTCAGCTTCACTCCTTCATTGCTGACTCCTCCACCTCCTCCCCTTCCAGCCTGGCTGCTGGCAGGGCTGCTCCGCACACATTGTCCCTCATTCCTCACCGCCTGTGCGGTGTTTTACCCTTTCTGGAGAACATTTTCCCAGAGGTGCCACCAGCTTGGCTGTGGGCTCGGTGGTGCCCTGTGGGGCCGTTGTGGAGCTGGCTGCCCCCGCAGCCCCCCCCCACCCCCCCCACTGCCAGCACCTGGGCACAGACACCAGGCGTGCATGGCAAATGGAGCTTGTAGCCCAGTTAGCCATGACAAGTAAGCAACGGTGCGTTTATCATCTCTAAAAGCTGCAGCCCATGGTGTAGCTGTATCTTGACTGGATATCTCAAGATCAACACGAAGAGAGAGACGCGTGACACCGGTCGGAGGAGGGCTCATTGGTGACCTGGTACCTGAGTCCCAGCAGGACTGGCAACTGAAACGTCCACAGCACTTTAAGGGTCACAGAGATAGCAACAAGAAAAGTGGGCTGTTATAGTGACTATCTAGGAAACTGATTTTGGAAATGCAAACATTAAAAGCAGAATAAAATTAGAGTCATACACCACTCCCCTTCCAGTGTGTTGAGGGCTGTATTGGCTGTACTGCAAGTAGCATGAGGAAAAAATGTTTGTAAAGGAAGACAGAGAATAAAAGAAATTTTGTTTTATTAAAATTTTTTTTATAGGTGTATGCGTATAATTCATCACTGGGTTACTTACTCCAAGGACATAGTACTGGCTTTAGCCTGGCATTTCTATAAATTTGTTTTACACCATAAAAGCAAATGTAAAAATAAGTAACAGTAATTAGCCTTCTGCTTTGCTTAGACTTTGAAACAAAGCTGTTCCACAAATGAGTGCAAACCTTGCAAGAATTCGCACTAGTGCTAGCAACACTGCCGTGTGCACTGGGAGACTGTAGAACTTCTTTTAAATACCAGTTTGTATGGGAAGCTAGCCAGTCTGGAAAAATATGTGCATGCCACCATTGCAGGGATAAAATGGATATTTTTGCAAAATACCACTGTTGTGGCTTGAAATGGCAATTTGGGACCTCACATTGAGATGGTCAGGTTGTGAAGCTTTTATTTGCAGGATTAAGGAGGGGAAAAAAACCAAACATTGAATGAATGTTGATTGTTAGCTTTCAATGCTCAAAAGCAAAAGTTTCAATGGAATTTTTTCAGTTGAAACTTTAACCTACCGACTATTGAGTAGTGATTAAAAAAATTAACCTACCTCAAACACTGAAACATATCTTCTTTTCAATGTATGTCTAGCACATAAAGAGAAGAGCATTTCATAACCCTTATGCCAACCACTGACTCAGGAGGCTCTTGATTACAAATTAGATTATTCAAAACCATCAAGTGTTCATGATTGTTTTAAGAAGCCTTAAAAATGCATAGCCTGGGTTTTATTTTTTTAAAAGGTCACTAGGTTAGATTCTTACAATCCAGTTCCTGGCATCTAAATATAAATAGTGCTGATTTTGAGTTACTGAGTGCTCCTGCATACTTAACAATGTTGAAAACCAGCTCACTTAAGGTACATGAGCAAGGATGTAGTTTTACAGTTTTCAGAACCAGGTTTGTTCTAATGTCGTGATCTGACACTGAAGAGTGGGGTTTTGAAATGTCGGAAGTCTCACTTAAGGCAATGGCAAGTGAAGTCTCACATTTAGGCACCAATGAACTTACAGGCTTATGGACTTAAGCACTTGCTACTGAAACTCTATTCCAGCTGTAATCAACTAAAAATCCAAGGGGAATTTATGAAAGTTGGAGGTCACTATGAGTCTGAATGATCTTCATCTACCCCCAGAAAAATTACAGACGAGTGGGAAAGTGCTGTATTCAGCATGTGTACGGCACAGCACAAGGACATACTGATTTTTTTTTACCTGGAAACAGCAGAATTCATACTAAGTCTTTGCTATAGCTTAGAGCTATCATTCAAGAATTGAATAACTAACAAAAATAATAATGCAGGGATGGTGGTGGTGGTATTTTCTGCTTCAGAAATTGCCTATGGCATTTGATGAATTATTTCCTTTTCACTCTTTTTATAAAAAGTATCATCCACGATATAAAATTTGTTCAAAAAAACCTATGAACTAATAATAGAGCATCTTGACTGATCCAAATGTTAAAAACTTTCTTAACGCCATCTAAGTTTCACAATACCTTTGCGAGATATTTTCACGATACAGAAGGATAACTGCCTTCGCTGCCAGTGTGCATTCATGCCTTGCCAGAAGACAAAGGCCCTGGGTTTACACATTCCTCTCACAGGTTTCAACATTTTTTCAATAGTTTTTCAACTAGTTTTTTCAACTAACTTTCAATAATCAAAACTCTTTCATTAGTTCAGGTCCCTTTCCCGTATGACTTTTCGCCTGCACGTAGGCCTGTGACATTCCTAGATACGTGCTCTGCCGAATGACACTGAGCACAGCAAATGAGCACAGAACAAAGCTTTCTATGCACCAGATGTTT